AAAAAAAAAAAAGCAGGTTGCTTTGGTTTTCTTTTTTTCCTAAAGTGGCCTCTGCTTTTCCCCACAATCACTGTCAATGAGCAAAGGATGCACTGAAAGACTTTGGATACCAAAAAAACCCTGATGCAAAATGTCCAAGAGTGCAGGAGGGGAGAAATAAAAAAAAAAAAATAAAAAGGCTCTGCACTCAGACACGAGATAGATTTTATCCTCATCTGAATCTCAGCTCACAAACTAATGTAACTCCAGGTAGCTAAAAACACCCAGCAGCAATCAAGCCATGACTCTGTACAACAGAGAGGTGCCCATCACTCTCCTCCTCGAAGCTGGTCCCTCCACCCAGAGAGAGGAGTGAAAGCAAGAAGAGGGAAGATGAGCCAGCCCAGGCTGACCAGGAAGATTTGGGAAGTGGGAGCAGAGCAGCCAGCGATGGTCAGCACCGTGTCAAGCTCCAACTCAAGCCAGGAGGGATGGAGGCGAAGCCGAGCAGGGGGACCCAAGTACTTGGCACATGTGTCACCCTGTCCTACCCATCCAAGAGGGTGGCAAAGGAGGGCATCCATGGCCCCGTGGCAGGGGGAAGGACTGGCTTCCCCCCTGCAGCTGTGGGAGGGACAGGGGGCTCAGGTGCTGCCACCTGACAATRCCAGGGAGCAAAGGAGAGGAGATGTGGGACAAAAGGGGACAGCTCCAACTGTTCAGCATCACTTTGGGCTCCACCACTGCTAGGCACAAATTGGAAATGTCCCAGCATCGTGGGGCATGGGTGCTGCCAGGGTCCCTGTGGCCCACTCTGGGTGGCTGCTCAGCCTTGACACCAAGCTGGCATCCTCCTGGCCTGGCCTCTGAGCTCCAGTGGAGCACTCGGCACACAGACCCAACCTCACAGGAATTCATCTCCACATGTGGGGTCTCCTCCACACAGCACCCCCAGCCCAGCACTGCCAYCTCCCACCCTGCAGAATGACACAGAGCCACGGCCATACCAGGAAAAAAAAGACCCTGAGAGGCAGATGYAGGGCAAACACTGAGCCCAGGCTCTGCCAGCCTCCTGGGAGAAGTCACCTTCTCCATCCCCTGCTCGGGAGAGTGGGTGACCGTGCAGGTGAAACTCAAAGACCAGGGAGGAGTTTTCCCTGGGCAAACACAGTGGGAAGCAGGAACATGCAGCATTCCTTTTCCCTTGGAAAACCCTCAGCTGGCCACGGCTTTGCAGAGCAAGAGCACATCTGATGCTCCCAGTGTTCCAGCAGCACTTCCAAGCACCCAGCTGAGCCATGTCCCCATGCCCACCCCAGGCGTTCCTGCTGCCAGCTGACCACAGGGGACTGGAGGGGACACCAAAGGGCAGCTCCAGGGAAGCAACACTCACCTCTGGCCGATCTCTGTGGGTGTTGACAGCTTCAATGTTCAGCGAGATGGATTCCACCCTGCAGCCTGCAGGCAGGAGCACAAAGAGACAGGGATCAGCAAACCCAGCAGGCACAGGATGCCCCAGGTGCCCCACCACTGATCACTGCTATTCTGCCAGAGGCAGCTTGGATTCAGCAGGAGGTGCAATTCAAACCCCCTGGCACGTTCAGGAAGGTCCCACTCACCGTAGGCTACYGGGGTCAGCTTCAGCACCGTGTGGAGGGGACACTTCAGGTAGGGCATTTCATCTGCAGGGACAGCAAAGCAGGGGGGTTATCCCACCTCCTCCCCCAAGGGCAGGCTCAGACACCTTCACCCCACACCAAATCCCAAAAATGCACGCTCCAGGATGGGAACWCCATCTCCCCAGAGCTGTATCCATCATCCCCAATCCTCCTCCAAGAACCAGGGGAATTACCTGCACTCTTGTCCAGGAAGTACGCCAGGAGACAGCGCATGACAGCCTGGTGACAGATGACAAGGACGTTCTCTTGCCTCTCCAGCTCCATGATGACCGGCTCCAAGCGCTGCACCAGGTCTTGGTAGGACTGGGACACAAGAGGAGGGAGATGAGGCATGGAAAAAAGGCAACGAGCACCCCAAAAAAAACAGTGAGTCCTTGTCTTGGTGCACCTCCTGATTTCATGCTGATTAAACCAACAAACTGCTAAAAACAAATAAATCCTCATCTCCAGGCTACTCTAGAGCTTCTGTCAGAGAAGGGGCTGCTCACATCTCAGTCCCAGAGAGCTTATTAAGTTAAGCAACAGTGGTTTTGAAGAGAGCATGTCTCATCTTGAAATTTGATTTTGTACAGGATTTCTAAGTTGTGAAAAGTCTGGAGCGACCTGAGGAACTCCAGTTTTGAAGGGTCTCATAAAAAACCATAACAGGCAGCCAAAAGGAACCCAGAGTTGGTGACTGATATCCCCACACATGCTTCTGTTAGATACACAGTCACGAGGACGTCTCCAAAGATTTTCCAAAATGTTCATGGGCATGACTTTCAAATTGGGGATTGTTAGCTCAATAAAAGCTAAATTCACAGCCTAAATTATATCCAGAACTGATGTTAATTCCCACCTCATTGTGTCACACCCTGAAAGAAGACTGGCAGGAACAGAGATAGCACCATCAACCCTTAGGGAATGATACTGAGAACAAGGTGAAAATTACTTTTTTTAGAAATCAAAGAAAATTGGGGCAGCACAACACTTGCAGTGGATATWATGATGCAGATTGCACTAGAAACCTCCAGAGACCTTTCCCTACTAATTTGCTGTGAAGTCAGTAGGACTRTTTGTTAAATGACATTTCTTAGTGAGCTCTCTGCTCACAAGATTTCACAAGGGCTCAGTGTAGAGGCAAATATAAACCCTGACACCTCATAATTCTAGTTTCCAGCTCTCACTGCTCCCCTGCTCAAGAACAGAGGACAGAATGAGGACAAAARGGTCACATCTAAAGTAAAAGTCCTGTCTCTGAGGGCCTCCCTGCACACCTACCTCCCCAGAAGGATAACGGTAGTAGTATTTATCCTGATCACGTAGAGCAAATTCCTCTGGGTGCTGATCCCTGATTTCTTCATAGGTCATTTCTTCACACACACCCTGCCAGAACAGCACAGCCACGAGGTTACTGGACATGCTCAAGTCAAACAGCATCAGCACAGCCACCATGCAAAGCTGCTCTGGCTGCACAGAAACTCACAGCATCGATTTCATTGAGCGCCTTCCACTGCTCATAGGGCAGCTGGAGAGCTTCTGCTGTCTGGATTGTCCTCTTTAGCTGGCTGGTCCAGACTTTGAGGTCCTTCAGGTTCTGCTCTTCCACAAATTTGTTCAGTGCCACTGCAAACTGTAGGACATAAAAAATAAAATTTAAAGAAAGGTTGTTTCCTGATCCACATCTTCCCAGCTTCTTCCCTGCTTCCCAGTTAAGTGTTGCCTTCCACAGGCAGACAGATCTGCTTTCTGCTCTGAAGGGAGGACAGCCACACTCTCACTGAYCCCCAAGAGCTACAGATGGACCCTCAGCAGCCCAGTTGTCACCAAACATGCACTTAAGGCATCTACTACAGCCAAATCACCCCTGGAAGCCAAAGGAGAATGCTGCCCTTTGCCCTCACCTTCTTGCCCCTGTTGGAGAGCCCAGAGTCRCCTCCAATCCTCCCCTTGAGGTTGAACTCGCTCTCCCCGTGCCGACAGAGGTAAATGGTGCGGGGCTGCACGTGGATGTTCATCAGGTAATAAACAATCCTGCTCTGGATGTGATCCTGGACCCTGTTGACCAGGAACCGCCGGCCGACGTCGATGATTTTGATGAGAGAAAGTTCCCTGGGGACACAAGGAGACATCACTCTCAAAAGGCAGCCCCTGTGAGCTCTCTGTGCACGTAATCTCCCGGCTAAAAGGATTTCCTGAGGGCTATTTTCAGCAGGGAACCAACAGGTAGCAGGGGATTCGTGGAGAGCTGAACGGCAGCAGTGTGATCGTCACCCCTCCTGGCAGCAGGAAAGAGGATTAAACGGGACTAACAGGGAACAGGACACGGATCAGCAGGACCAGGATAATCCGTGCAGGGCACACAGACGTGTTTGTGAGCAGGGGAAAGGTTGGGAGGAGCCTGCAGGAGTCAGGCAAGACAGCAGAGCTCTCCCAAGCAGGCAGAAACCACAGGGTTTGCTCAACCCTGGGGGCTGAGCCAAGCAGTGCCTTCCTTGAACAGGGACAACAACAAAAGCACCTCAACCACTCCAACTCAAGTGTTTTCCCAAAGCCTTTGTATTTAGAGCTGCAGAGCAAGGTTGAGAACAGCTCAACTGAGCCCAGAAGAGCCTGGGAAGGCATCAGTGCCCATTTTCCCGGCACAGGATCAGGGAAAAACAGCATTTTCATGAAAAAAAAACCTGAATTCAATACATCACTCCAGCCCAGTCAGGTGTTCGGAGACAAAAAGTGAAATAAATACAGCTCCACCCTTCACTGCTCCTCTCCTGGGTGAGGTGGGTGTACAAGGCAGCTYAGAAGTCAAAGTCTCTCACCTGTCATAGTCATCAGGGTCGAGGGGCTGGTAGCTGGCTTGGTAACAATTGATCCTCTTCATGAAATCCTCCATGGCATCGGTGGAATTACAGTCCCGGTAATCTGGGCTGGACAATTTGACTTCCTGCAAGAGGGGAAAAAAAAAAAACCATAAAAAACATGCCACAAGGAGAGGTTAGGAARCTTTCCAAGCCAGACAATGCTAATCTGGAATTTCAAAGTCCTGCCAAGACCCAGTGATTAGCTGAAACAAAGTGATGACTACTTTATAGTCATTGCTTATCATAATGGCAGAACAGAAACAAACTAGCCCCAAACCCAAGCACAAGGTGGGAGAATTTGGTATAAACCACTGTGTGATGAGTACAGATACTCATCAATCCACTCTCATTCTCCCAGGATTTGGGGTGGCACCTCACCAGCCAGCACAGTGAGAAAACTGAGCTTCCTTATGGCTAAAAAAAAAAAACCCAGCAGCTTTAAATTTAAACTGAGAATGGGAAGTGCAAGAGTTTAGACAAGATGCTTATCCCAGCTCAGCAGCAGTACAGTAGGATGGCAACATTCAACCCCTTTCTGGGCATTATTTSGGCCAGAGAACACCAGAAATAGGCAGTGTGAATATGCACAACTCCCATGGACTAAGTCCCTCCTGAACTAATCGAACAGGCTGTTTTTCCTCAAGATTTGGGTTTGAACAGTGGCATTACACTTTGCAAATTTCACAAGCAGTCCTGAAACCAACAGGATAACACAGAGTGACACACATGGAAGCATCCCAGGCCTGGGGTGTATTTTCCACGCTGATCCCAGCACTAAGAGCACCATTCATCTGCAGTTCCCTGCAGAGCAAAATCCCACGCTCGGCTAGCAGCTCATTTTCTCGCCCTTCAAGCTTTCGTTTCCAAATAAAGGGATTAAAATCCTCAAAAAAAAATCCAGTTTGGAGAAGGGAAAAAAAAAAACGTAGCAGTCTGAGCATTCTGTTGTGGAAAAGGCTGTGTGCAAGCTCCCAAAAATTGGTCACTGGGACAATATGGGGCAACAGCTCCCAACAGGAGCAAAAGACACACTTGAGCCCTGGCTGGGAGCACCATTTGCCTCCAGTGAAGACGTGGTGGCTGCCACCAATCACCTCCTGGTTTTCCATGTGCCTTAGCAGAGTTTCCAGGATGGTCTGTTCCWTGATCTTTCTAAACTCTTGAGGTGAGACTGAGCCTGTTCCCCAGCTCTGCCATGGCTTTGTYTTTCCCAATCCRATCCTTGGCTGCTCAGACAAYCTCTGTATCCTCCCAGGCTGCCTGTTCTTGCTTCCATCCTCTCTCTGTAGGCTTCCTTTTTGTGTTTGAGTTTGTCCAGGAGCTCCTTGGTCATCCATGCAGCTCTCCTGGCATTTCTGATGACTGCTCCTTTCTTGGGAATGCATCACAGCTGAACTTGGAGAAGATGATCCTTGAACATTAACCAGTTTCCTTGAGCTCTTCCCTCCTGGGCTTTTTATCCCATGGTACTCCAGGCCAAAATCTGCTCTCCTGGCATCTCATTTCACAGCCCAGACTGCCCTGGAGCTTCACATTCCTCACCACTCCCTCCTTGTTGGTGACATCAAGGAAGAGCAAACAAGGAGGGATGCCATCACTTGGAGGAAGTTGTCACTAACACATTCCAGAAACCTCCTGGACTGCTGTGCCCTGCTCTGTCCCTCCAGCAGGCACCAGGGTGGTTGAAGTCCACCATGAAGACCAGAACTTGTGAAGGTGATGCCATTCCTACCTCTATGTCGAGGGAAAGGAAAAGCAGAACACTTGCACCAGTTCCACACTTACCATGACATTGGTGGCCACCACGTTGGGATCGTTGCAGACTGACTCGATGAAGAACACCTGGGAAGCAAAGCAAAAGCTCAGCTGACAGCCACTGACAAGGTTTGTAATAATCCAACCAGCTCCTTTCCTCAAGCCAACCTCCTCCCTGCTAACAGAGAGCTCTCCCTCTGCCCCACTCCCATAATTTCCTTCTCCAGGGCYCAGGAAGGGGAATGAGGGAAGAGTTTCATGTTTTTAATCAAACTCAGCAGTGAAATCTCCCTCACACAGGAGCAGAATGAGGACAACACATGRAAGATACACCAACTGTACACTAAAGTGGGCTGCACAACACAGACATCAGCCCACAGCACCAACCTTGAATCCGTTCTCTTTGGCAAAGTTTAGGATCATCCCTCTCCTCTCCCGTGTGGTATTGGTGGCATCAAAAACCTTCAAAAGCAAAAAATATCTCAATCAGCACCATCAGGGCTGGTTTCCCATGAGCCCCTCATCAGAGAAGGGACTGCAGAGGATTTTTGGGGCTGGCACTGCTGCCAAACCCCAGAGTACACCGCGGAGCTCACCGCTATCTGCCCGGCCTCCTCTGTCAGGTACAGCTTCACATCCCTCAGGGCAGCCATGGCACATTGCCTGAAAAACAGGGCACAGACATGAGCTCCCCATGCCCTCTGCCTGTGCTGGTCACCCTCAAGTTACCGAGCCTGCACAAATCCAGTTTCACACAATACTGAAGAACACAACTGCACTATCCCTTCTACACCATCCATGTTCAGAAAYATTCAGAAAATTTAGCACACACCATTGTTCTACCACCCAACAGCAAGTTCTCTTTACATAATAYTCTATTTATTTGCARGATATACTGGTGTACTAAGTGCATTTTTTATTGATGTACTGAAAATTCAGTTTCGAGCTCTCAGAACCCTCGTTGGGCAGGCAGGGGAAATTCACACCAGAGCCAAATTTTTCTGTTCATCACCCCCAAATTGGATAATCCCTGCTCCCAGCCATGGTTCAGCTCACCTCCTGACTTTCATGGCTTCCTCGTTGTCAGGACGGAAGAAGTCATAGGAGCTGTAGTGCTTCACGGCCTCGCGGCGATACTCCCCCACGTTGAAAACTGGGTGGAAAAGGGAAAAAAAAAAATCAAAATGAGGAGCTTGACTCAGTTGTGCAGCTTCTGCAGTTAAAGCAAGCAATGAGCCAAGAAATTATATCTTTAGAGCAAAAGGCTCAGGGCATCCCTTGGCCTTCAAGGTGAAGGAGAAGCTGGGCTGCAGCAGAATGTGAGAACACTGATATTTGGCCCACTACTCCCCATCTCCCAAAGCTCCTGGAGGAATTCCTGAGGACCAGAGCTCACACCTTCCYCTGGAAGGCAGTGCAAGCCTCACCTTTAGTGGGGACACCAATCCAGTTGAGGTAGCGTGTCAGCTTCTTGGAGATGTAGGTCTTGCCACGGGCTGGGAGGCCAACCATCACGATCACCGTGGGGGAATTGGCGAGCTGAGGCCCACAGGCTGCGAGGAAAAACAWCAGGAGAAGCTGTTAATTCTCCAGCTGATCTTGTCACAACCCTACAAAGGACCTATTTTCATCCAGACTCTCTGCAAGTCCTTCAGCTGCTGGAGGAAACCTGAAAACCATGGCAAGAACATCCCAATGGCTGCAAAGTAGGCAAGGAGCCAGCAGCTGGCCCAGGCTCCCTGGAGGGTCTCTGTGCCTCAGTTTCCTCATTTATAACCAAAATGAATATGTTTTTTTAAAAAAATTAAAAATTAAGGCAAGCACAACTTCACATTCCCATGGCTTGGCCAATTCCATGAAAAGCTCAAGGGCAGCCAAGGACTTTGGACCCACCCCTGCAGCAGCATCAGTGCTGAAATACCAGGTCTGCTCCCACAACTTCACCCACAGAGAGCACCTTCCAAAATCCTGGACTAGATTTTTAGCTGACACACAGCCAACTAACTGGATTTTCTGAAAACAAACTAGGCAGGAGAACAACACAACTACCCTCCTTTAAAAGCAGATATACAAGTGATTTATCCCACTTTTTTCCTCATAAACCCAAGATGGATTGGTTTTTTTTGGTTTTTTTTTTGTTTTTTTTTTTTTTTTTTTTTGTTTGTTTGTTTGGTGTTTTTTTGGGTTTTTTCTTTTTAATGGTGAAGAGGTTTCACATCAAACAGCTGGAAAGAAAATCCAGAGGCAGCATTTGCAGGACAGATGGGACCCTGCAGGGGATTTCTCAGCCACCCTCCCATCCACCCGGTGAGCCCAGAGACCTCATAGGAAAGGAATGCAGGGAGTGAGTGGCTGGTGGCAGAGCCATAAAACTCAGCTTAATTATGGCCTGGGTGGAGAGCTCTGCCTGCCTGTCACAGCTGCCTGAAGGTGGGACCTGGGGATGGGGACAGGGCTGAGGTAGATTTTTTCTCACTGTGGATCTGGAAAGGGCAAACAAACTGAGAGGTATGCACAGAACATGTATAGTACATGGAATTACCCTCCCCTTCCAAGAAAAAAAAATGAAATACAACAGCTGAAGAAGCCAAATCAAGGCCACAAAGAAGAGATGTAGCACTGGTAAAAGTCTGATTTGGACAAAACCCACTGGCTTACTAGATAAAGGGAAGAGGAAAGAATAATACCTGAATAAAGAAACTCTTCCTTTCCCTACCTGCCACTGGACTAAGGATCTCAAAGAGCAGGGCCAAGAGGATTTGGGGCCATTAAATAGCACTCCAAGAGGACAGGGACAATGCTGGACACTGTTCATGTCCCCAAGGGCTCCAGACAGCTGTGACAGTCCCAGGGCTGGCACTGGCTGGGCACACAYGTGTCACCATCAAAGGGTGCTGCAAGAATTAAACACCCCTCACTCAGGAACCTCCCCATAATTTTTGCTGCTGAAGGAAAAATCCAGGTTCCCTTTGGACAATGGAAAATCACCTGGGAAGCACCTCCCAAAACACCAAGGCATCAATGAGCAACTTTTTGTCAGCAATCTGAGCCAAAACCAAAAGTCTCAGGGATGAAACAGAACCCAGTGTTTTGCTCCCAGTGTTYCACAAAGGCCTCATTCATCATTTCTTTTCACCACTGCTGGGAAGCTATCAGGGATTTCAATACATATTCATTAYTCCTTATCGACATCCAGCCAGGTAAGTCAAGGGCAGGGATGACTTTCAGGCTCTATCAGAGGATATTTAGAAAGAGCTCGTCACTTTTGCAGTTTGCCAGAAAGTCAG